CCCTCCTCCCCCCCCTCCTGCTCCGGCCCTAAAGCTGGGGTCAGGGAGGAGGGGGCTGCTGAGGGGCGGGACCCCGAGGGCCCGGAGAGCAGACTCAAGTTCCTTGGGGAGGGCAGGGAGGTCGGGGGGCAGGACCTGGTCCTGCACTTGGGAGCGGCCCTGCCCTGGCCAGAGAGGGTCCAGAGTGACCCACGGGCACCACTAAGGGAGGCACGGGGCTCCCAGGGCTCGCAGCCCGTGGGGCGCCCAGTCAGGCGTAGGTGGCCTCGTGTGCCAAGCCTGGGGTCAGGGCTGAGGGTTCAGAACCGTCTTCTGGGTCAGGTTCAGAACTGCACCCTCAGGCGGGGCCTGGCTGGGCCTGTTTCCTGTGAAGACCCCGGAGCGGTGACTCTTAAGGAGTGGGGTCTGCTGGGCTGCCATTCTGGAGCCTGGGGCCTCGGGAGCGTGCCACCGGCATCTGGCAGGGGACTTGTGGTGACAGAGCAGGTGGCCGGCTGGGGTTCCTCTTCCTTTGAAGTCCCTGATGCCAGCCCAGGGCCTGCCCTCCCCACGTCCTCCTGTCGCCTCCCAGGGCCCCACCAGCAGCTGCCATCAGATGACGTCACCGTGTGAACCTGGGGCGGAGTGTCGACGTGAACTTTGGCCTGTGCATTCGGACCTCGGCAGAGGTCCCCGCACAGGGCGCCAGCTGGTCATGTGGATTAGCCAGGGCCACTGACCACGTGGCCATCCACGGCAATCGTCCCTGACCTGCCCTCGCATGCTCCGTCCACCGGAGGCCTGGGCCTGCTGCGGCCTGTGTTCTGCCCTGACCCGAGGTGGCCCCACTGGCCGCTCTACCTGCCCTGACCCAGAGACCCCTGAGGTCTGCGGGTGGATGGACTCGTGGGACTGGTCCCCATTCCTCTCCGTCTGTTGGAGGCCCTGGCCCTGGTCCTCCGACCTGCCCACAGAGGGCGAGTGACCAGCCACACAGGAGTGGGCACCTGGAAACCTCACAGCAAAGTCGAGCTCCGTGCAGCCGGCGCGACTCTGCTGTCCTGGAACCGACGGGCAGCACTGCGGTCAGGGAAGAGGAAAGCACGGGGTGGTCGGTGCCCAGCAGGGTCTTGTGGCACGGGGTTGGTGTGACTAGGAACACCACTGGACTTYGGTGTTCTGGGCTCTCAGCCCTTGGAACCCCACTCCTGCTCCGTGAGGTCAGCGTTCACAGGACAGAGAGGACCTTCCTGTCCCTCCCACAGCCACGTGCCCTGGAGTTTCCTGCTGTGTGGAGAGGACCGGCCCCTCAGCCTCTGCCCCATCCTCCCGATGGCCCTGGTGGGTCTTTGACATCTCCCACCACCTTGAACWGTTCCCAGGTGGGCACCGGTTAGAGGCCCAGGCACGTGGCCAGCGCACTGCGGACGTCTGTGGAGTCGGTGGGTGACTGCCCGCCTGAGCTGGGCTTTCCCAGGATGGTCCTGGTCCTTTTGGCTGCTCGACGTGGGCATTCGAGTTTCAGGCCACCAGCCGGGTGTGCGTGTCCACCCGAGTGCCACTGCACACACCCAGGTGGCRGGCGGCCGGGGCCTGGGTGGCGCCTGACCTGCAGGTGGGCTTCCTGCAGGGAAGGCCGCCCACTCTCGGCCCCTGACCATCCAATGGTGCCTGGGGGCCAGGAAGACCCTGGCACTGGGCAGGTGTGTCCACCCTCCTCTCCTGGCCTCCCTGGGTGGGGTGCCCGGCGGAGGCCGCTGTCCCTCCACTTCGACAGGACGAGCTCTCACCCACCAAGGGCCGCTCGGCCTCCTGGGGCTTGGGAGCTGCAGATTTGCTCCCACAGGCTCTTCCTGGGTGGGGACCCGTCGGCCAGGTTGGAAAATTAAAATGAGCCTCCAAACCGTCTCCGCCTGCCGCTCTGGACGCCTCGTCCCTGCGTGTGGTGTGAGCTCCAGCAGGGCCCCGCGTGGGGACTCAGCCCAGCCGGGGTGGTGGGATGAGGGTCTTCGGGCGGTCACGGGGCCCTCAGGTGCCCTCCCAGTGTGGGCAGGGCGTGGTCACCCGCACCCCATCCTGCTGGCCCCGGGGAGTGTCTGGCTGGGCTGGAGCCGGAGCCGCCCGCTGCCCAGGAGGACCAGCCTCGGYTCCTGCGTCCCTTTGTCATCTGGAACCCCCACGAGGTCTGTCACCAGGTCCAGGCTGAGACGCCCAGCTGCCCAGCTGCCCAGCTCCACAGAGCCTCCTCCCGTGTCCCTTGGACGAACGGACTCCTGGGCAGGCCCCCCCCACGGCCGCCCTCCTGCCTGCTCGCCCCGCATGGCCAGCCTCGGGGCCTGGGGGCGCTGCTCTCTGCTGAGTGGGACGGTGTGCACGCAGTGGGGCCGACAAAATGAGGCGGCGGGCGCAGGAGGGACACACGTTTATTGAGCAGGGCCACCGAGCTGAGAGGCGGGAGAGTTTGGCCTAACACTGTGGAGGGAGCACGTCTACACTGCAGCCCGCCCTGGGGACTGACGGGACTGTCCCCCATTGTCCTTCCCTGTGTGCCCGGGGCAGCAGCAGGGCAGGGGGTGGTGAGGGTGAGCTCTACGGGCAAAGGTTACAGGTTTACGTGGAAGTCCCAACTTCAGGTGGAGGGATTTCTAGAACCTTCTAGAACCTTCCGCTCTGGTTTTCCATTGGCCTCGTCACCCTGTCTGGCAAAGATCAACGAGTTTCTCAGACCCCAGGCCTGACTCACCTCTCATCACTGCCCGGCACAGGGTCCAGCAGGGCAGGCGCTTAACCTGGACGTGCTGAGCACTGAGACCCTGGGCGGCCGTGGGGGAGGCGCTCGGGCCCCGGGCTGTGGAGCACTTTGGGTCTCTGTGCCCAAGGGCTGACCTTCTGCTGGCCACATGGCCCTGGCAGCCTGCCCACTCCAGCCGCTCCTGTGTGTGGCAGTGGGCGGCCTCCACGYGGCCAGCTGGTAGGGACGAGTCCCTAAGAACCACCTGCTGGCACTGTCCAGTCCCCAGGGCCCCTGAGGCACTGAGGCTGGCCTCACACACRGCCAGCTCCAGCTGGACCCTGCTGCTGACTGCAGCAGGAAGCCCGGGCCCTAGAGGAGGACACTGGCAGGACCCCAGCTACGTGGTGACCTGTGCCCATCAGAGGACTTGCAGGGGGACCGCAGTAAGAACTAACCCAACAAACAAACACACACACACCCTGGATCACACACACGCACACACTCACACTCACACCCGATACTCGGACACCACGGGCCCTGGGCCACTACAGGAGGGGGCAGAGGTGAGGGAGGCCTCGGTGCGTGGACCCCGGGTGGGACCCCCGGCTGGAACCCTTCTGGCTCAAGTCKGCCAGGGTCACCCTGTGTTGGTCACCCGAGTCCACAACGAGTCACCCTCGGAAGCCACCAGCCCAAAGGAGAACTATTGCTTGCGGACGGGTGGCCCAGGACCCTCCCCGGCACCCCGGCCCCAGCCCTGAGTTTGCTCCTGATGCTAGAAGTCCGTGGAGGGGGGTTTCGGGCACCGACGGCGTCTCCTCCTCTGCCGCTGCCTCCGCCTGGGCTCCTCTTGGCGTCTCTGTCCGAGTTGTCCTTGGAGGYTGCACCGGGTGCTTCGGGTGTCACCTCCCCCATCCTGAGGCACGGCAAAAAGGTTTTCTGAGGAAACAGAAGGAAACAAAGTATCACCTAGTGTCTCTTCCATGGGAACTTGCTGGGGTCATTTGTCTGGGGTCTCAGGGACAGAAAAGGCCAGGTTGTGTCCTCTGGACTTGGTGAATCATGTGACTATGATTCTGGGAGCAAGACAAAACATGTGCTGTCCCTGTGGCTCTGGATAGCACTTGTGCCCTAGCCCATGCAATAAGAGAAGAAAAATGCAGATWCAGGATTGGAACAGAACCAGGATCGCAGTGAACTGAAGACCAGCACCTAGAAACTCTAACAGACCAACAGGACGTCCGTCAGAATGACGGAGCAGATGTAAAGGGGTGAGTCCCATCTGCGAGACACCAGGTCGACATAAKACTCAACAGCGTCATCCACCCCGCAGTCGCCAGGCCACCGAGGGCCGTCTTGTCTGGGCACAGTCTCAGTTAACACAGGCTGTGCTGATGAGATTTTTAGTACCGTTCCCCCGCGGCCCTCAAAACTGCTCTGGCTGGATGACAAATTTCCTGGTCCCAGTCGCCATCACAAACTGGAAATATTAGAAACACGTACAGATGCCACTTGCAAGATGACAAAACCATTACGTATCTCAGAGTCACTCCACTGAACATGCCCCTGTCCTACAAAGTCATGGGGAGGACACGCAGGGGCCCCCAAAACGCCTGGATGGCTGGAGACCAGCGGGCAGGGGCAGGATCGTGGAGACGGCCTGCGGGGACACGTTCAGCTTTGACAGGAGAGTTGTCGCRGGCAACACAACGAGAAGCAGAAGACCACCCACCTGTGGGGAGCCACGATCCTGCCTCTGCCCACGGAGGAGCAGCCGCAGTCACCAGTCTCTCCTTGGCAGATGAGGGGGTCACGCGGCAGCCCACGCCCTGTAGCGGAAGTCCGCTGGGCTACAGAGGACCACGGTGATTGCAGGCTTTGCTTATCGCCATATCGCCAGGGGCTAGCTGGCGCACAGTAGGGACTTAATCCATATTTTTTTAAACATTTTTTTTTAATATTTATCTTTCAGTTTTTTCAGCAGACACAGCATCTTTGTTGGTATGTGGTGCTGAGGATCGAACCCGGGCCGCACGCATGCCAGGCRAGCGCGCTACCGCTTGAGCCACATCCCCAGCCCCAATCCATATTTGTTGAATGAGTGAATGTGCCAAGAGTTTAAAGCCCTGATCAACCATCTCGTGATCATGAAATCAACAAAAAAACCTGTTGAACAYATTGAAGATTATAATTCCCATGGCCCTGCTTAAATACCCTACAGAGGACACTCAGGCAGACCGAGGGGCAATGGGGTCACTCTTGAGGAAAACCCCTGGCAATKAGCACAGAGTCTCTTTAACTCTAGGGCCACGTCTGAAAGAAATCCAGAATGGGGGTTATTACAGAGAGACGAAAAAGACAGCAAAGAACTGACGTGGGACGGACGGAGGTGGGACGGGGGCGATACCGACGACAACTGCGACTCATTCAATTATCGTCTGGTGACTCAGAAACCGAGGTGACGTCAGAGGCATCAAGGTGAACGGAAAGTGACCAACTAAAACAAACTGCTGCCAGCAAAAGGGAGGGAAGCAGAGAATTCTGGGTTCTGACCTTCTCCCTCACAGGGAGAAAATGAGTCCTGCCTAAGAAAAACGGGTTTTAAGTATATGGTGTCGCGTTGTGATCACGAACGAAGGTGGCCACGGACTCGAAAACACAGCTTTCCAAATTATCAGARGGCTCATATACAAAAAGTGAAACCAGGAAAACAGGACACGTGGGGAGATGGGCACCCACAGGAGTCCTCAAAGCAGGAAGCACTTCACCCAGCGCGTCCGCCCCGTCAGTGGACGTCAACGAGCCACACACACTGGCTCAAGAGAGGACCCTCAGACTGGACACACAAGGTGCCTGGGACAGAGCGACTCAGAGAGGTCGGGACTCAGGGCCACGGAAMCGTGTGGTTAAAAATGGCTGAAGGCTAAAACTTATGTCATGTGAACCGTGTCCCATTTTAAAAAGGAGGACGGGCAGAAACATAACAAACGGATGCAGCCCAGGGAACCAGGGCTCTGGCTTCAGGATGAGGGAAGCTGAAGGTGGGCAAGAAAGAGCAAAGAGAGGCAGGAAGGCTCTGTGAGCGGATCCAGGATGAAGGTCGCCAGGAAGAGCTGACCGCAGTGACGGAGCTTTGTGAGTCACAGCAAGGACCGCTGGGGATGGAGGAAGAAAGGGCAGAGTGTGCTGCAGCCTTGTGTCTTCACTCACCTCCTCAGCCCACTGCAGACGAAGGGGCGGAAACCAGTAAGAATATGGGAAGCCAATGACTGTGTGTGTGTGTGTGTGTGTGTGTGTCTGGGGGTGGGTGTAGAAGACAATGTGATATTTATAAAAATGCTTTTGAAAATGTACACACAAAAAGGGACTATCAGGCCTAAATTTTCAAAAGTAGAAACAGAATGACATTCTCTATTACCGTATAATAGAATTTGAGAATACTAACCACAAACTCACACACAYACACACACACACACACACACACACACACCCAAAACTGTAGCATCAAGAAGTATGTAAACTCTTTCAAATAACTGTTGAATCAAAGGGAGCAAAATAAATAAATAAATAAAAATTGCAAAATATTTAGACAATAACAATTAAACTTTTCAAAACAAAAATTCAAAAACCATTTTTAGGAATAAAAAAAAATTTCAGAAACTGGTGATGCAGCCAAAGCAATGCTCAGAGGAAAATTCATAGCCTTAAAAAAAAACATGATTTTTATTAATACACAAGAATGCATGAATTAATCATCCATTTCAAAAAGCCAGAAAAGGAAGACAAAATAAACCCAATATAGATATAAGAGAGCAATAAATAAATTAAAACTGAAATGGAGTTAAAAACAGAAAAGGAAAAAAGGGAACTAATAAATCCAGCTGCTGGTTCTCTGGCAAACAATGAATCATGTTAACTCTTGGTAAATCCAATGATAGAAGGCTAGGAGGGGAGACACATGTTGGAAGGACTGTCTGTACCTTCGCTCTCCTGCTCCACTTCCCACTCTACCGTAACCTCTTCAAAAGGCTCCAACTACTCCACAGAATTTGCCCTTGTCAAGGTCACCAACAACCTCCATGCTGCTAAAGCCAGTGGTCAGGTCTCGGTCCACTCCACCCGTCCTCTCAGACCACTGACTTGAGTGGTCCATGGAGGCTCAGCCTCTCTCCTGGCCCCTCTCTCCTGGCCCCTCCCCTACTCCCTGCCTGGTCTGCCAGTCCCTCTGCTGGTCCTGCCCCACCTCCCAGCAGCCTCTTCCCCGGTCATCTCTACTCATCCTGAGATGGCACCTCCTCCCATGGCCGTGAGTGCCATCTGTTGACGCTGTGTGGCCTCCAACTCCACCCACCCTCCATGTCACAGCCGCATCGTCTACTCGACGACACCAGCTGGACATTTAAGAGACCTCTCAAACTCAGTATTCCTCAAGTCAAAGTCCCCGTCTTCCTCCCTGGACGAGCCCTGCCCACAGATGTCCCGACCTCGATGGCACCAGGCTACCTGCCATCTGCTCACCTGGTGGTCCTGGGGTCCCCTCTGGCCCCTCCCACACCCCATCTAAAGCCCCGTGCTGCCTGTGGGTCTGGTCACATGGCGCCCCGTCCCACCCCACCCAGAGGGAACGAACGGCCCCAGCAGCTGCCCATGACCCACTCTGTCCCCTGCCCAGGGCACCCGTGTCCTCTGCTCCCCTTCCAGGGCTTGCCGTGGAGATCCGTGGCATCACTGTCACACGCTGAGACATCTCTTTGGATCTTGATTCTCCCATGGCCCCCGGAGGTCCCCTCAGTGGACCCCTGCGATTCCCCTGAACCCTCCCCTCCCGGCCTCCTGGCCTCCTGCCCTCCCCTCCCGGCCTCCTGGCCTCCCACCCTCCCGGCCTCCCGGCCTCCCACCCTCCCAGTCTCCCGGCCCAGGGCGCTGTCCACTGTTCCCCGCCCTCCTTCACGGCCAGGTCCGATCCTTTGCCAATCTCCTCGGCTCTATTTCAAAACAGACCAGAACYGAGCCACTCTGGCCACTGCCCCTGTGGCCAGGCCACCGCCCTCCCCTGCCTGGACTGTGCGGAGACTCACTGCTCTCACCTCCCCGCAGTTGGTCCTCAGCACAGAAACGCAGGAGGAAGCACAGTAGGGCAGCTTGATCCCGGGCCACCTAACCTTCAGAACAAATCTTTATTGTCTCTCTGGCTCAGAATCCTCTAACGGCCTTGGTGCCTCTCCTGGCTGCGTTCCGACCTGGTCTCCTGTTACGCCCCTCGTCACACCTCTGCAGCCACACGGGCCACCTTGGGGGTCCCCAGCATCTCCGGTGCTCTTGCCACAGGACCTTTGCACCTGCTGGCCTGCTGTCTAGATGGCCCCCGGGCCTCCATGCAGGACTCACTTTCTCAGCACTCGGGTCTTGGTGCAGTTGGATCCTCAGGGCAGGGCTTCTGGGGCTGAGTTTTCTGTGCCACCCAAGCCTTGAGGACTCGCAGTGGGGGCAGGGGGTGCTGGAGAAGCATGTCCCTCCTCCGTCCCCCAACCCTGTAATGTAGCCTGAGATTCACACTTTCAAAAGCACTTACTGAGCACCCACTTTGTGCTGGACGCTGCTCTGAGCTCTCCATAGAGATCACTCATTTAGTCCTCAGCAGAGCCTCACGAGGTCAGTCCTGTTGCACAGAGGAGGAAAATGAGGCCCAGAGAGGCTCAGCACGGTGCCCTAGCTCACACAGCACACGCGTGAGCGCAGGCAGCCTGTCTGCCCCAGGCCTGGACTTGGCCTGTCCTGTGTGATGTGAGYGCTGCGGCAGGAGACCCTCAGGTCCCAGCCGGGGTGTGACCCGTGCCCTGTCACCTTGTCACCGAGGAGCCACAGAAACGCGAGACGCTGGTGATCATGGGAACCGCGGGGGAGGGGGGGCAGGAAACCCTGCGCTTTCGGCTCCATTT